TTAGGAACATGCGTCAGCTGGGACCCTTCATCCACCGGCTCTGTTATGGAAAAGAAACCTACAGACTGAGACGCCGTAGCAGCCAAAAACGTGAGTTTCTTGACATCTTGATTTATTATTGGTGTTTGCCAAGTCAAACATCACTATGAATATTATTATTATTATTACAAAAGATTAAAATAAATAAGATTTTTAATGTTTTTGAAAGAAGACTCTTATGCTCACCAAGGCTAGAAACTTGGAAAAGAAACCTACAGACTGAGACGCCGTAGCAGCCAAAAACGTGAGTTTCTCGACATCTTGATTTATTATTGGTGTTTGCCAAGTCAAACATCACTATGAATATTATTATTATTATTATTACAAAAGATTAAAATAAATAAGATTTTTAATATTTTTGAAAGAAGACTCTTATGCTCACCAAGGCTAGAAACTGTGATACTGTTGTTGTTGTTTTTTTGATTCTTTGATGAATTAGAAATTCAAAGAACAGTATTTATTTGAAATCTTTTGTAACATTATAAATTATAAAGACGTTTAATCCATTTAAAATGTTCTTGCTGAATAGAAGTATTAACATTTTTCGATAGTAGTTTATCAGTTTTCACAAGAATATGAAGCAGCACAGCTGTTTTCAACATTGAAGATGATAAGAAATGTTTCTTGAGCAGCAAATCAGAATTAGAATGATTTCTGAAGGGACACTGAAGATTGGAGTAATGATAGTGAAAATTCATTACAGGAATAAATAACATTTTAAAATATGTTCAAACAGAAAACAATTATTTTAACAGTAGAGAATATGTAATAGTCAGTTTTGTTTTGTTTTGTTTTTTTATCTTGGCCTTCTTTTTTTACATGTTATTTATTACTGGAACCTGCACACACAGATGTATCTGTGGTTGTCTGGCAGCTCCTGTTCCTGTTTTTTTTTTCTTCTAATTTCTATCCACCCAGTTATCTTGCGTAAATCAGACACAATAACTATTGCTGATAGCACAACAACGTCTTCCTCTTTTTATGAGTCCGACTGCTTTAATCTAATGTTAAATGTTGCATTCAGATTGATCTGGGCATGTGCTGTGTGCTTTCAGTTTTTTTGCTCATGGCACGTTGACACCGATCTTCATTCTGATTAATGCGTGCGCACGTAGGTGTGTAAGCGTGACTCACGATTGTAGAGTACACAGAACGTCTCTAGTTAGGAAACCACGCAGAGGGGGTTGTGATGCACGTCAGGCACTGATGCATTGTGGGAGTTGTCGTTTGGATCAGAGGGCATCTCTCTGTGGTGTGATGCAGAGGCTGAGGTGTGGGAAGTGATGCGGTGTGGGAGCTGTAGTTTGGCTCCTTAAGGACTTCCTCTCACTCATCCGTGCGCAGATGGTGTCTGAAGCCACAGGAAATAGAACTTGACATGCAACATTTGCGCCACACCAAGAGTGTGACCACTGAGTTCAACTTCTTAAAAATGTATTTTTCACTTTGAGAACGTATGACCCAAACGACCAACGTGAATCAAGCTTTAAAACATTTTCAGTTTGAAACTAAAAAATATTTGTAAATTAGAAATAAAAAGACAAGGGTTGGCATTAAATGGGTTGCTAGTTATGTAGTCGGGTAACATTACCTAGTTAAATTGTAGAAACTAACTCCATTCAAAAGCTTGGGGTCAATGTGATTTTTATTTTATTTTATTTGCTGAAAGAAATCAACACTTATTCAACAAGGATGCATTCAATTGATAAAAAATGACGGTAAAGACATATTATAATGTTGCAAACAATTTCCATTTCAAATAAATGCTATTCTTTAGAACTTTCTATTCATCAAATAATCTTATATTAAATGTATTACATTTTCCACTAATATATTAAACAGCACAACTGCTTTTAACATTGATAATAATAAAAGTTTTTTTATCTTGGCCTTCTTTTTTTACATGTTATTTATTACTGGAACCTGCACACACAGATGTATCTGTGGTTGTCTGGCAGCTCCTGTTCCTGTTTTTTTTTTCTTCTAATTTCTATCCACCCAGTTATCTTGCGTAAATCAGACACAATAACTATTGCTGATAGCACAACAACGTCTTCCTCTTTTTATGAGTCCGACTGCTTTAATCTAATGTTAAATGTTGCATTCAGATTGATCTGGGCATGTGCTGTGTGCTTTCAGTTTTTTTGCTCATGGCACGTTGACACCGATCTTCATTCTGATTAATGCGTGCGCACGTAGGTGTGTAAGCGTGACTCACGATTGTAGAGTACACAGAACGTCTCTAGTTAGGAAACCACGCAGAGGGGGTTGTGATGCACGTCAGGCACTGATGCTTTGTGGGAGTTGTCGTTTGGATCAGAGGGCATCTCTCTGTGGTGTGATGCAGAGGCTGAGGTGTGGGAAGTGATGCGGTGTGGGAGCTGTAGTTTGGCTCCTTAAGGACTTCCTCTCACTCATCCGTGCGCAGATGGTGTCTGAAGCCACAGGAAATAGAACTTGACATGCAACATTTGCGCCACACCAAGAGTGTGACCACTGAGTTCAACTTCTTAAAAATGTATTTTTCACTTTGAGAACGTATGACCCAAACGACCAACGTGAATCAAGCTTTAAAACATTTTCAGTTTGAAACTAAAAAATATTTGTAAATTAGAAATAAAAAGACAAGGGTTGGCATTAAATGGGTTGCTAGTTATGTAGTCGGGTAACATTACCTAGTTAAATTGTAGAAACTAACTCCATTCAAAAGCTTGGGGTCAATGTGATTTTTATTTTATTTTATTTGCTGAAAGAAATCAACACTTATTCAACAAGGATGCATTCAATTGATAAAAAATGACGGTAAAGACATATTATAATGTTGCAAACAATTTCCATTTCAAATAAATGCTATTCTTTAGAACTTTCTATTCATCAAATAATCTTATATTAAATGTATTACATTTTCCACTAATATATTAAACAGCACAACTGCTTTTAACATTGATAATAATAAAACTCTTTCCAAATCAACATATTAGAATTATTTCTGAAGGATTATGTGACAATGAAGATTGGAGTAATGGTGCTGAAAATGTAGCTTTTTCAGGAATAAATTAAATTACATTTTAAAATATATTACAATAGAAAACTGTTCTCAATATTTCACAATATTACTGATTTTACTGTATTTTTGATTAAATAAATACAGACTTGGTCCGCATAAGACACTTCTAAAACATTAAAAATCAAATTTTACTGACCCCGCACTTTTGAATGCTAATTTAAAATACTTCCTGAACTAGGCAGCACAAAAATCTGTAACTACGATGTTGAATACGTGAAATCGACATTAGAATGTCCATGCAACAATTATGCAATACAGTACATGCAACACAGTGCTATATCAAAATGAGCATCCTTGTTTAACCCAACTCGAATCTGTTTCTTCCTCAGGCATCGAGAAGAGGGAGACCAGAAACTGCCACAGCATCCGGCACTTCGAGAACACGTTTGTCGTAGAGACGAAGATTTGCGACAGACTCCTGCTGTAGTTTCCTTCCCTTCTCAACTCTACTGAGCAAAACCCAAAACTGACCCTTCCCCATCTGTCCAGCTTAACAGCACTTTATCAGCATGATAAACCTGTACATAATGTTAGATAATGCCATATCTGTGTTTTCTTGGTTCGGTTTTTCCAAGAATAAACTGTAATGACTTTTTTTCACCCAAGTATGTGGGTTTTTTTCTTTCTTTTTTTGTCTTTGTCTAAATTAGATTTTGATTTGCATATTCTGAAGCACATTTTCTAGTTTGTAGTTTTATTTCACTCTCAGGTTGTTGTTTTTTTTCAGTGGGGACGTTTCCTCAAATATAACTGTGAGATTATTCTCAGACGTATGGCATGCACTGATGAATGATTTGAGTTTTCATTTTTTTCCCCCCTCTGTAAAGCCTCGGTTTGTGTAGACTGATGGTTTTTTTAGTGCGTTTCATTTGTTCAAAAATGTTGTTCATTTCTTTCTGTGTTGGCTAAGAAATCCAGTATTAGAAAATTGTCTTCAATGCCAAAAGATGTATACCTCATATTTTAGAAATGTATGACTTTAAGCCTGTTAGTGTGAGTTTTTGAACGTGATATAAGCAATATAAGTTTTCTTATCTTGGATTTCCTAACTTTACATCCATTTCTTTGTAGTAATGTTGGTCATCGGAGCAGTTTATCATGTTCAAATACTCTGTGTGTTGCTCTTTAATACATGTGAATAAAGTTTGTAGAAAAATGTGAAAAACTAGCCACCGGATGTTGGTTTGAAATGTTTCATTATCCCTAAATGCAGTATGTCTATACTGATGAGAACGGGCTGTTCTTTAAGTTAAAGGTGAATTTTCTTAGGCACAGATGTGCAGAAATCTCTTCCTTGCTGTTCCTATTCCTTTTTTTTTTATGTATGGTCCATCCACGAATAATGGTAGATCTTTAGACCTCATCTGAGGTGGAATCGTTTCATATTGCTTGCACTTTTTCTAATTGTACCATTTAAATGTATTTGTTCATCTTCCACATACTGGTGTAGCAACAACTGGTTTTGTCTGGAGTAAATGAGGCGTTTGATTTGATGCACTCTATTCTGCTGCTTTGTAAAAGATAATTGCTTGTAAAAATCCATCAATAAACTGCTGAAACCCTACTCTCGCTCTGTTGATAATTACAGATACAGTATGTGATCGCATGCAAGAGACCTTTCAGCGCACTTGGCCCACAAACCACAACATGAAAAACATCCCTCATGTGAAACAACAGGAGAGGGTGTGGACTTGAACGCTGTCGACTCGAAATTTTCACTTCCTTATGCCAGCCTGTAAGCTTTGTGCAACCATGTGAACTGTTTCTCATTCTTTCGCACCTCAGTTGAAGTCAAATGAATTGTCATTATGCAGATCTTATCTGAGAAGAGAACATTTGTTTTATTGTTTTATTTCTACCAACATAATGCATGACACAAAAGTCAAAGTGCAGACATATTACTATGCAGAACTTAAGTGCAATCTTGGGGAAATAAAGATGCAGTTCAAAAGTATTCCTCAATGACACAAAAACACAGAAAAAAGACAAAACCGAACAGGTTTTCAACGGTAATGCTGGTAGAAATGCAGCTAATGCGGCAAAACATTGCAATATACAACCAGAGGGGCCAAAATTATTCACAGTAGCTACTGCCCTTGGTTCTCAGTGATAAGCAAATATACACAGCTTAATTTGATGATTTGTAACAATGCAAGTTTTGCAGAACAATTTAAAGTATATCACATTGGCAGATAATGAAGCACACTGGCTCAACGTTTGGTGTCTTGTTCCCTTTTCACCCACTTTAGGACGCCCGAGATGGGTAAACAGAGTTGCATGTGATGCACAGGAGCAGAGACGTGCAATTCTCTCTTGCGTGAGTCAGCTTTTGGTTTAAGATTTTGGTTTTTTACATAACCATTTCCTTTCAGACTAAGAGCTTGTTTACCTCAACAACATAAGCAATTATGATGGTTTGTTGCTTTACTGTCCGTTCCAACTCATGCTCTGAACCAGGCCGAGACCAACGGTTTTGGATGAAGAATCACATCTGCTTCTGCCTTTAATAGTCTTTGTGCTGAAATAGTAGATCAAGGGGTCCAGACAGCTGTTTGTGCTGGCCATGCACATGGTAACAGTCTGTAGGTTAAAGTAAACTTCAAGAGAATTGTCTCCATGCAAGAAATCACGTTTGCTCAGGCCGAAGAGGACAAAAGCAATGTGGAATGGGATAAAACAAATGGCATAGATGAGCAAGTTAGACAGAAAGAGCTTTACAATCTTGCTTTTGCTCAGCTCGGTGTTGCACGAGGAAGTTGCCATGCTGTAACCTTTCAGCTGCCGCACGACTGACACCGTACAGCCCAAAATAATGCAGAAAGGTACTAAAATACCAAAGAAAGTGGTAAAGCAGAGGATTATGAAACCATTCTTCCAATTCCTTTCAGAGTATTTCTCAAAACAGCGTGTAACGTTACAGGCGTTGTCCTTGTTTTCAGGGTGGTTTAAGGCTGTTGGCACTGCCAATCCAGCGATGATCAGCCACACCATCACACAAAGCACCCAGGCCATCGGTACCGTCCGCAAATGTCGAGATCTCAGTGGATACACCACGGCCAGCATCCGGTCCACACTGATGAGCGTGATGAACAAGGAGCTGGAGTATATGTTGACGGCGAAGAGGGTCCCTGGAATCATGCATAGAGCGTTTCCCAGCTTCCATTCACCTGTGGCGAAGTAGATGATCCGAAAGGGCAGGGAAAGTGTGAAAAGAAGGTCCGATAAGGCCAGGTTGGCCATGTAGATCACCGAAACGGATTTCCTCAAGCCATTCCGACAAACCAGTATCCAAAGAGACACGAAGTTCAAAGGAAGACCGAACAGCAGCACGATGCTGTAGGTGGAAGTGAAAAGTGGATATCTGAAGTGAGATGTGCTGCAGTTATCTGTGTTGTTGGGTGGCATTGTTCCAAAGATACAGGTGAATTTAAGAGAACTGCTGTGCCGAAATGTGAAATGGCTCTGTAATGATTTTTTTCCTGTGTGGTACCTTTTTTTTAGTTCCACTTGTTAGTTACAGGAAACAGTGGGAGGTGTCAGTAAGTGAATTGCATTTACAAGCAGATATTTAAGAGGAGCAAATTCTGCTTTGGGGGGTTGAAAATGTTTTGACGTGTGGTCAAATGCAAACCATGTTAAATTAGGTCAGGTTGGATGCAAACTTCAAAGTTTGCGTTTGTTTATTACAACCTCTTGTCTCAAAAAAAAAAAAACTTTTGGGAAAAATACCAAACTGTCACTGGGATGCTACCCTTTCAAAAGGTACTAATATGTACACTTTTGGTACATGTACGATTAAAGTAGTAATTTAGCATTCAAGGGTAAATAAGAGTAAAAAGATGTACATTTTAGCTTTTGTACCTAATTGCACCGCCTCAGTGAAAGCTTTGTACCTTTTTTTCTGAGAGTGTGGAAACAAAAAATGTATTGATCATGTCCATGTCATCTTTCAGATCATTCAAAAGCATTCGAAAATTAACTCTTTATTGAACTTCCCCCTTCATGTACTGATAGAAACACAAAAGGTCAGAATGCCTAGTAAAACATCTCAGCGTGTGAACATCACTGATAATGTTGCAGATAATAACAGCATAATCACACACAAGTCACTCAAGCAAAAAAAAAAAATACAAATAAATAAATATTCTGCTGTATGCTTGGTAAAGTCACAGCATGGTCACCATGAATGCAAACTATAATGTATTTCTGCTATAAATGTAAATCTAACTATTCCATTCAAGCCTGCAGTGCTTTTCTAGGTTGTTTAACCATAAAGCCATAAACAGTACATACAGTAAATGTTTGTGCAAAATATTAATAGGTTACAACCTCACAAGCTTACATCTGTTTTCAGAAAAGAGCGATAAACAACTAACTGGCTTGCCTCCCCACAGTCTCACTGATACTGTCTTAACGTAAAAGGTCACTTCAGCAGCACATGCACAGACACAACTGCTTTTCGAAAGTCCTGTGGGTGGAGGGGTTGGGGAGACGCTCAATGCAAACAGGATGAACGTATTGCACGTTTGTTGTACAGCACATTTTGTTGACAAAAAAAAAAAACATTTTGTTATCAATATTTTTAAGTTAAACTTTATATCTATGTAGCTGCATGTATGTAATGTAGCTACATGTATGCAATTAATATTTAGAACATTTATTCTAACGGTAATGTTTTTTTTTTTTTTTTAGATGCTATCATTTTGTGTGGGTGTTTGCTGTCATGGCTTTGGAGGGCAGGGTTTCAAGGATGTGGTTCACGGAATGATATATCTAATTTAGTGACTAAAGTTTTGTGGAAGTTAGACTTACGTTTCACAAATTAAATGGATTTGGGTGATCCTGATCTTGAACTCCAATCCAGACAAATTTTGGGACTGTGCAATTCTGAAGATCGGGGTAAAGATTCTGTTCTATTACCGTTTTCTTCTCATATTTGTCACACTTTGTAAAATTAAATGGATAGTCCACACTACTCACAACTCCCCTGCCCCTGCAGGCCACTGCTCTCTGATGCTATCATTTTGTGTGGGTGTTTGCTGTCATGGCTTTGGAGGGCAGGGTTTCAAGGATGTGGTTCAAGGAATGATATATCTAATTTAGTGACTAAAGTTTTGTGGAAGTTAGACTTACGTTTCACAAATTAAATGGATTTGGGTGATCCTGATCTTGAACTCCAATCCAGACAAATTTTGGGACTGTGCAATTCTGAAGATCGGGGTAAAGATTCTGTTCTATTACCGTTTTCTTCTCATATTTGTCACACTTTGTAAAATTAAATGGATAGTCCACCCAACAAAAAAAAAATGTCATTCTAAACCTGTATGAGTTTCTTTCTCCTGCAGAACACAAGGAGTGTTGGGAAAGTTACTTTAAAAAAATAATCCATTACAATATTGCATTACTCCCTAAAAAAAGTAACTAATTGCGTTTTTTGAGTCTGTTGAGTTACTTTTTAAATCTGAGCTGAGCTTGCTCATTTGGCTTTAATAAAAAAGGTACATTTTGGAAAATGTAAAAAGCCATTTCACAACAAAAAGGAAATGAATAAGCCTCAGGCTGAAGGAAATGTAAATTCACCTCTGTAGCAAATGCTACAATGTTACAAACACAAATGTTATGTTTATCCAAAGTAATTTTTGCTTATTAATATGGTTGAATTGGATCATCAAAGATCAGCAGCAAAGACATTGGTTCATAAAATGGGATTAAATACATAAAGGATATCTGTGTTGTTTAACATATTTAATTATTGCAGGTTTATGTCATATTCTGAGTTTGCATTTTACTGTTTTTATTCATTCTGAGAAATACTGATTCTATTTTTCTGCCAGTGAGATGAGTAAATGCATGTTCACATTTAGTCTAGAACTACAGTAGCAATCATGTTTACACAGAGCACACAACGCCTCTGCATTTACTCCCGATTTCTCTCAACATGGGGACAGGAGAGCTGTCAGACAATAAATGGGAAAACGGTAACTGGCATTACGTATTTGAAAAAGTTACATATTTTCTTGTAAATTAAAAAGTAATGTGTTACTTTTAAAAAAGTAATCTGATTACGTAACTTGTGATACTTGTAATGTGTTTCCCCCAATAACACTGCACACAAGAGATGATATTTTGAAGACTGTTGGGAATCAAACATCATTGGAGCCCACTGTTTTTCAAACTTCTCATCTCTCAAAATATCTTCTTTTATGTTCAAAAAGAAACAAGAAACAAACTCGTACGGTTTTGCAATGACGTTAGGGTGACCAAATGATGACAGCATTTTCATTTTTGGGTGAAATGTGCCTTAAACTTGAATGAAAGAAGTAATAATTTGTCAATTAAATCATGCATTAACCTCAAGAACCTTTGAAATCAGTCCAAAATGTTTTCTTGAAGTGTTTTCACATTTACCGTTTGGCATATTTTCATGGGTGAAATCCAGTTATTTCACTATAGGAATCCACACGAATTTTAATTTCATGTCAGGGTGAAAGATTTTGCAGCGGGCTCAAGTATGTGAATTTGCTGAATTGACCAACAGAAAGCTGTTTGGTTTGAAAGTTACTTTTTTTTTTTTTGAACTGTGCTTCACACGTCGCTACTCTGTTGACAATAGACTTTTTTCAACGTTCAAATTTCACTAGTGTGACCACAACTTTACTTCCACTGGAAAGTTTGTGAAAGTCTAATAAACTGAATTCGACTTCTCAAACATCTGAGGTGCTGGTGGTTCTTGCTCTGTTGATGGACAGTCTAAGCGTGTCCTTGGTGGATCGGACTTCCTTTGCGATGAAATAGTAACACAGTGCATCCAAGCAGCAGGTCACGTTTGCAATGTTTATTGACACCTGTATAAAAAGGGCGATGTTCTTTTGCTGTTTGCAGTCTGAAATAAATCCATTACGGACAAGATACTGCAGGAATATGGCGACGTGACAGGGGGTGAATGGCACTAGGAAGGCCGCTAGGCTGCTGTAGATGATTCTCACACCAGCTTGCCTCTTGTGGTCACTGTTCTTTGAGGCTTTGAGAGTACGGACGCTCTGAATGGAACAAGCCACCAGTACTGCGGCAGGCAACAGGAAACCAAACACCTCCAGGCACACAATTATTGCAATGCTCCAACCCTTCTGAGAGAAGCGATGGAAACAGGTGAAATTCCCCTTTTCCTCTCCCCGGAAGGTGTAGATGGGTGAAGTCGCTGCCATAACGAACACCCAGATGAAAATGCAAACATTCAAGGCTTTTTTTTTCGAACGCACCTGCTTGGCTCGAAACGGGTGGTTTATTGCGATGTATCGGTCTACGGCTATGCACACAATTGTGTAGATGCTACCGTACATAGCTACAAAGTAAAGACTTTCCAGGAAGGAGCAAAAGAGTTTCTTGTCTTCTGCCCACTTGTGGTGTGCTGCGTGCATTTTGAAGGGCAGCTGCATCAGCAACAGCAGGTCCATTAGGGCCAGGTTGGTCATGTAGATGGAGGACTCTGTCCATTTTCTGAGCAGCCGACAGAACACCACCAGTGCTGCAATGTTTAATGCCAAGCCAAACACCAAGACGGGCACGTAAATGACCAAGTCCAGCTTCTGCGTTAAAGTGTCCACTTCTTTAGTTGAGCAGTTCGTCATAGTGAAACTGGCAGGAGAGAGGTGCGAAATACATCACATACGTCTTCATGAAATTTCTACCTTTCACAACTGAAATGTTTATATCATATGCACACTCATCAATGTTATGCTTTCTTTTTTCACTTGTTGATGCAACAGTTTATGTATTTATTTTCAAATCTTTTGTGGATGTTTTGAATGCAAAATGCTAGGTTTTCTATATGCTTTAAACGGCCTTGCTCAGACTTTTCTCACAAAGAACTGCACATTTTCTTTCTAAAATAAAAAAAAAATGGTAAAAGAATTGTTTTTATTTAAAAGGCAAAAGCAAGCTGCATGTACAAAGTACCGGATGACTTGAAGCTCGTTTTTCATTATAATGATGTTTTATACTACTTCGGACACATCAAACATCTTACAGGGCTTTAAGTTTCTGTTTTTGTTTTCATTTTGAACAAGTTTCCACTCATATAAAAAATGAACATGATGTCAATTTGCTGATGATCAACATTTACTTACTACAATCAATTGCATCAAGCACTTTGCACCACAGATGATTAATATTTAGCTTTTATCATTATAGTCTAAAATTCATAATTGGTGCAATTTTGCACAATTGCTTTATTTATTGAAATGATTATAGTAATGTACATTTATGTAAATATTATTGAGGAGACTATAATGTGAACATTCGTTAATGTTTAAAAATACAGTCATTTGAAAGAAAAATATGAGAAAATTATAAATGTAATGATTGACAGTTTTTTTGTAGTTCATTCGATAGTTCTGCATATAATTTCTGCCGCTCTTTAGTTCATTAGTTGATATTCTTACCTTCGCCGATGACTT